CTGTAATTATATATGTCCTTTCTCTTTTAGCTTTCTCAAAAAGATTAAAAACATCTCTGAATACATTTTTATAATCTTCTATTATTAAAAATAATATAGAGATCTTCTCGTCTATATCAAGATCATCTTCAATTTGCTTTAAAATATCAATATTGAAAATAGTATTAGCTATGTTATATGTATTTGCATCTATTGATGACATCATAAAATGTATATTTCACTAATGATATTGCTATATTTACCTGAAACATGCATTACCAGAATATTATAAACACGTTTAATATATAATTCTTTAAAATAAAACTTTAATGCTACAAATACTTACAAGTAAAATAATCTCGTAAAAATCTGTTGCTCTTCGCTATATATGAATGCTGATATATGAATAGAATATTTTATTTTATAGATTCAGACATTCGAAGGTTAGGAATAATTCTCTCTTTTATTCTTTTTCGCACTAAGTGTCGGTCCACAATAGTGTCCGATTCACAATAAATACTTAAAGCCTTAAGCTTTAAGAAATTAACGAATGATAGTCGAATGTGAAGAAAATGATTAACTGTGGTTAGTCAATTTCTTAAGGTTTAACATTTAAAATACTTATTGTGGACTGACACATTAAATTTGTTCTATGACGAGTTTGTGGGATTGTATAGATTGGCTATCGGATAGAGAATTTGTAGGGTGTCTAGAGAAAATATTAGGGACCCTGAAAACTTTCTATCTGACAGCCAATTGGTACACTTGATAAACTTAATGTACGACATATATTAGACCGAATTGTTGCCAGTAATATTCAATATTAATTATTTAATCAGGTTGCAGCAACTGATAATAAATCACATTAAAAAAAAAGATGTTTATATAACGTCAAGGAGCAATAAAATATATTTTACGTAATTATATGGTTTCACGATCGTATTCAATGGCTAAGGTCAACTTTATTTTCTTCATAAGGTTGCGGTACAAAATTACACATTTTATTGTCAATAATGATTTTGATTAAGATTTAAATTTTATATCTTGTCAATAAGTATATAACCACATTGAAACTCCTGTGCTTTTGCATATACCGGGTGTATAAGTACGAAACCGGAATTTTTTTGTAAAAATTACACGTCTGTTGTTTGAAAATGATAAAAAATATTTTATTCAAAATAATGTCCATTGCTATTTATACATTTTTCCTACCTTTCCGGCAGTTTATGAATGCCACGCCAAAAAAACATTTCTTCTTTTGAAGCGAACCAGCTATCGAGCCATTTTCGTACATTTTCATACGAATTAAAGCGTTGTTCAGCGAGAGCGTGTCCCATTGATACAAATAGATGATAATCGGACGGAGCCAAGTCTGGAGAATAAGCCGCATGCGTTAGTATTTCCCAACTGGACGCCTCGATCGTTTCCCTGACCCGTTTTGCTGTGTGTGATGGGGCATTATCATGGAGCAAAATGACTTTGTGTTGCCTTTTTCCATATTCCGGTCGTTTTTCACGCAATGCTCGATTTAAATCGATCATTTGCTGTTGGTAGCGATCAGTGTTAACGGTTTCATCAGGTTTTAGTAGCTCATAAGCTTCTGATCCCACCAAACACAGAGCATTGTCTTCTTTCCAAAGCGATTTGCAGTGGATATCGATGGTTCGCCTGGATTCACCCATGATTTCTGACGCTTAGGATTCTCAAAATA